TATATGTACAGTGACTCTCATTAATATTCGGACATCATGATACTTTAGAAATTATTACCTTCTAAACACAATTTTTATTGGAGTAAGAAATATTTATAGCTTTTGTTTTAAATTGAAAAATTCATTATAGTTATTAGAAATATAAATTTTATTTTTATAATTACATTTATATGATACAGTTTCGAATATTAAACTATAGACAGAATATTGCTTAATTCTGGTATCGCAAAAATATTCGGATACTTAACAAGATATAATAAAATAAATATATATAAACAAAATAATAATAATTTTAATACTTTGTTTGGTTAACTTTTTTGTTTAATAACATGTTGCAAAGGCATGTTAGAAATAATTTTTGTTAAATAATTGTATGAATTGATGTAATGCGCAAACTATTCCTTTTTTAATCATAATTTTAGTTCTTCTTTTAATCTTGTAGGCGTAATCCAAATCTAATAAATTCCATAAATTTTCTATGAGGTTTCAATCTGGTGACTGTGATGGAGGATGTAATACTTTTGGACAGTTGTATAATAAATATTCTTGCATTATTCGCGATTTATGTTTTGGATCATTGTCTTGATAAAATTTGAAACTACTTCATATATTCATATTATTAGCACTTTTTATTAAATTGTCTTTTAGAATATTTAAATATTTATTTTTATCCAAAATTCCGTCAATGAAAACTAATTCACTCACTCCTTTATTTGAAATACAACCCCAAACCATTGAACTTCTACCGCCGTGTGTCATAGTTGGCTTCAAATTTTTCAGTTTGAATTCTTCGTTTGCTTTTCGCTATATCATTTTCCATCTGTCAGATCCAAAAATGTTAAATTTACTCTCATCAGCGAATATTACATCATTCTACCATATTTGTTTTAGAAATAAATTCCTTGGCGAAAATTAATCTTTTCTTCTGATTCATTTCATTTATGAATGGCTTTTTACGAGCAATTCTACCGTTGTAATCATTTTCTTTTAATGCTCGACGAACTGTATCAAGATGTATCTTCTTGCTAATTTCTTCGTATAATTCTGAGATCAATTTTGTAACACTTAATCCAGGATTTATTTTTATTTTCCTAACGTAATAATTTTACGTTTATCACCGTGAGTCAAGTAATTTTGGACGTCCTTTCTGAGGTATTGATTCAATGCGATCTTCACGAACATATCTTTTTACAATATCTGCTATCGTACTCTTAATCAAATTTATTAATTTACTGATTTCTCGATATGATTTGCCTTTTTTATAATGAAAAATAACAAGTTGACGTTTATCAAATGAACTATTTTTGTCTTTACGTTCCTATTTTCACTGTTAACTTGTGTAATCTTGGGAAAATTAGGTTAACTCAATTCAATTCACATGAAATAAGTCACATATTTTGTATGATTTACTTCACGGTAAACAAGTAAGGAATAAACTAACTTGATTTCCGAGGGTCAGTAAATATAAAATATATTGAATGTCCAAATATTTTTGCGATTCTAAAATTAAGGATTCACTTATTTAATATTTTTTTATGTTGAAAACTGCATTAATTAAATACAGAAAATTATGTTTCTTACATTTATAATGAACGTTTCCAATGATAAAAAATCATA